AAGTTGGGAAGTTTTTAAGAAGGAAAAATGAGCATAAAAGAGTCAAGCAAAGTTTCAGAAGGTGATGTTAACTATGTTTACATTTAACATCAGGAGAAGGGGCAAGGGTAGCTGCCACAGAATGAAGTTTGAGGAAAGACGTACCTAAAAAGTATTTTTAGAATGGTATTGCTGTCATATGAGATGTAATCCCTCATCTACCCATCCATGAAACCTTGATCAAATTCACACTATACATAGGTATGTTCCTCGTTAAGTACGTGTGTGCTTAATGCAATAAAAAGAAGTTATAGGTGAAAATAGAGCAACCGAGTCTCCAATGAGGTATGCAGACTGGAAGGTAAAAGGCAGGGAGACAGGTTGGAAGGTAAGACAGTTGCCTGGGTCAAGGATGAATTCTGAGGTTGTGGCCCCTGGGAAGTGGCAAAAAGGGAAAAAGAGAACCAACGCCAGGTGGAAGATCTGAGGTCTGACCTTGGACACTAAATCACTATTTTCTGTTTTAGGTCTGGTTCCTTATCTTTTAATAGGACAGCAACTGTAGCACTTCCTTGCATGAGAAGTACTAAGAAAGAAGAATCACATTTGCTCAGCAGTGCAAGGCTAGGGGAAGGAGGAGGAAGAGCCTCAGGTGATGTGGGGTCTGGATGCTGACTGATGGGAGGACAGGAGGCCAGAGAGAGAAAAGTCAGTTTTAGGTTTAGGAAGCCCTTAGGGATTAGGATCTCTGGTCCTGATGTTTATTTTAACTGTGTTCATTTCCTACTGCTTCTGTAACAAATTATCAAAAAATTTAGTGGCTTAAAATAATACATATTTAATTATTTTACAGTTCCAGTCAGAAACCTAAAATAAGTTAGCAGAGCTGCATTTGCTCCTCCTGGCAGCTCTAGAGAGAACTCATTTCTTCATCTGTTCCTGCTTCCAGAGGCTGTCCATGGTCCTTGGCATGTGGCCATGCATCATTCCAACCTCTGCTTCTGTCCTCACACCTCATTCTCAAGTTCAGATCTTCCTACCTTTCTCCTATGGAACCCTTTTAATTATCCTGGACTCACCAAGAAAGTCCAAGGTAAACTCCCCATTTTAAAATCCTTTCATTTAATCACATCCGCAAAGTCCCTTATATCATGTAAATAAAGTGGCACATTCCTGGGTGTCAGACACTAGGATGGGGCATATTTGAAGAGCTATTGAATGAGTATCATCGTGACTTGAATTTATGCAGAGGTGAGCCAAACAAAGGAAATGATATGAGAAGATGGGTGCTCAATGGAGGAGCTAAGAGAAAAGCAGAGGTCCAAGGACAAAAGCCTGAGGAACATGTTCTCCCTTGCAGTCATTCCACAAATGTATACAGAGGGCTCACTGGGCCAGCGAAGGACCAGAAGCTTGAGAGAACACAAATTCATCAAAGCAAGTGTACTTTGGAGGAGCACACATACTAGAAGATGAAGATAGCCAATGAGTCACACAGGAGAGAGTCAAACAAGGTAATTCATGGAGGAAAAGACAGGAGTGATGGTGGAGGGCTTTGTGAGGTGGTAGAGAAACAAGAAGGCTCACTGGGAGAGAGAAAAAGAGATACTTGCTGGATGGAGACCGGGATCTATGAGCATGACCAGCCTTGCTTGTCTCTTTAGCTAGATGAACAAAACCAAATCAGATGCTTGTACTAGATCCACTAGAACAAAAACATAATAATTTAAATGTTGCCAAATTGAAAGACTTCCATATTGTGCCCACAAATGGTATATAACTAGACTGTTCAACCAGGAAGAAGTATTCTGAACCCCAAATATCAAATGATTAACATAGAATTTGATTTTCACAAAAGCTTGCCTGGGAACCTGTACTATTCTTCCCAGCAAAATTATATATAAAGTCAGAGAGCTCAACTCTGGATGTGTCATTCCTCTTCTCTGAGAGATGTGGGGTGTGTAACCCCGCCTTTTGGATGTACATTTGCTTTGCTGTGCTTTAGTAAATCTTTTGCTTGTGTCTTGCTTTCTATATGTCCTGAAATTCTTTTCAGGGTCATAAGTCAAGAATCCTCCCAGGTAGGGCTGGGGATGTGGCTCAAGCGGTAGTGCGCTCGCCTGGCATGCGTTCGGCCTGGGTTCCATCCTCAGCACCACATACAAACAAAGATATTGTGTCTGCCGAAAACTAAAAAATGAATATTAAAAATTCTCTCTCTCTCTCTCTCTCTCTCTCTCTTTAAAAAAAAAATAAAAATAAAAATTAAACATGTTGTGTCCACTGAAAACTAAAAAAATAAATAAATATTAAAAAAGAATCCTCCCAGGCCTAGTTGAAGTCCCCACTGCCCTTTTGGAGGGACTCCTCAGACTGCCCCTCCCTCCAGTGACAGTGGCATCGGAGCTTACTAAGAGGAGCAGCAAAGAAGCTTCTAGAAGTGAAGATGAACCGAAACAGCCACTGGTATGGTTTCTGGGAGGGTCTTGGTCGTCCCTAAGACTAGGCATCCTGCCTGTTGCCTTATAAAGCTACTGACCTCAGGTAGAGGGATAAGTAGTCCCTTCCTGTGGGTGTCACTGATCACTAGACGTCCTGTTTCCTGCATGTTCAAATCTTACCACCAGGAGGAGCACAAGAGCCAAAGTGGACCCCAAGAGGTGGGGTGGTGGGGGTGTTCCATAAACAGGATGCCCCTGGGAAGGAAGTTTTCCCACTCCAGCTCCACAAAGCCTGGAAAGCCTGGCTGCCTCCTGATCTCTGACTCAAGGGCTTACCCAGATTTTCCTCTTCCACTTAAATCAAACCATATTTTTTTTTCCATCTCTCCTTCCCTGGTTGTCTGCAGCACTGCCTACAGCACTTTGGCCCAGAGACTTAGGCACCATATAATGCCAAAATGAAGGGAGACCTCCACATCTCCCAATCCAAAAGGTTCATTGTATGGATGAGACCACTGAGGCCCAGAGTCAATCACTGATCAGTCCAAAATAAACCATGGAGTTGGAACCTAGACTAGAACTCTAGCCTACTCACTCTAGGTCCAATGCCCTTATCACATGACAAGGACACTTGATTACATGTGTCATATGACAAGGACACTTGATTACATGTGTCATATGACAAGGACACTTGATTACATGTGTCATATGACAAGGACACTTGATTACATGTGTCATGACAAGGACACTTGATTACATGTGTCATATGACAAGGACACTTGATTA